TATATATACACACACACACACATACAATATATAAATACATACAGTAGGGTGCAACATAAAATACAGAAAGAATCAACCTTTTATGTAACCATTTTCTAATTGCTGAAAATCTAGGTAAAGTTATTTATGGCAAGACAATAAACTGTGTGGTCATTAAAATGAATAAAAATGAGTAATGTGGGAAAAATTTTAAATAATGTTAAGAGAAAAGCAGAATAAAAAAGAGAAAAGCAGAATATAAAATTATTGCTACATGTTGATTACAACAATGCAAAAATCAAACACACAGGTAGAAAAGGATCAAAATCAAACATGAACAAAGAAAATGGTTTGCTGAATTGTGGGACTACACATATCTTTTCTCTTATTTAAAATCCTACATAAAGTAGCCTCAGTCTTTTGTACAAACACATTTTAAAATAAAGAAAAACAAAAAAGCAAAGCATTTAACGAGGCCTCAGCATGGCCCAGGAGGGAGAACTGCACTGGGTCTTCATCCATCTGTCATCATGTGTTTCATCGTGGGTAACTGCACACTCCTCCCTGGGCCTCTGCTATTTCTCTTATTAAACAAGAATGCTGATTTAGATGAACTTTTGCACAGTTTTGTAACTTTCTCCAGTTCCAGCTGAATTTATCAGAAAGGAAATGAGAAGAGCTCCTATGGTTTTTTAGTTTTGTCATCAAACAGTAACCACACTTAAACCTTTCCCACCTCTTCAACACACGTTAAAGCAACCAGGAGAAATGAAACTAGAGTATATATGAAACATCCTTCCTTCCCTAAGAAGATATACCACAGGGATCTGCCTCTCATCAAAATACTGATTAAATAGTATAGTATATACTCCACCACAAAACTGGACTGTGAGTTAGAGGGAGGTGGTAATAATAATTAGTAATTTAAATTACTGATGAGCCTGGCAGAAGGTCTATTTTTCCCTTAGCACTACCGATTAAAAATAATGTCATTAATTTGCTAAAATTCAGTGAATGACAAATAAAATGGCCAATTCTCACTTGTAGGACTAAAAGCTTTTTGAAAGAATTAGCTGTGTGAATTAGCTTTTAAAGTCTAGGAGTCTGGAAATGCAATATTTTGTATTCCCCTTGTCAAAATCAACTACATAAAATTTGTTCGTGGTCCCATGCAATTAATCATAATGAGTTTTACATCTTTAGAATACTGCTAATTTTTCAAGAATATATAAGCAGAGATCTTTTGAGGCTTTCATTTAGACGCAAAATAAATTGTGTAGAAGCACAAAGCACATTTATATAGAAATGATACTATATAACTAAATTATATCACTTAAAGTATCCCAGAAACAAACAATGTTTACTAACTATTAGTTATTTTACCTAAAGCATTTCAAAGAGGAAGAAGAGGCAGAAATACTTTCTTCTTCTGGAGAAGGTGGGACAAAATCAATATAATCATCATCATTAAGCTCAACACATGTAGCCTTCTCAGATGAAAGTAGTTCAACATCTTCCTCATTGTGCTTTTCATTATTATCTAAAGTAAAACAGTAGATGAACATAGGTTATTTTAATAGTTAATGAGTCAGAAAGAACAGGGCACAAGCACTTAGGAGTGAGTCTTCTGGGCAAACCATGAACAGTTGGAGCATGCCACAAGCAGTCCTCTCCTCTTGCACATTAATGTTGGCTGACTTCCTCCTAAGAGATAATTGAGTCAACTGGACTAAGTCCAATGGACACAGGATTCAGACTGAAAATTTGCTTAGGGGTTTTCATGCCTGTCTCTAGTTAAATTATGAAACTCATACTTAGTATGGACATTAAGAGTAACATGCAGCAGCAAACACGTCTAATACACAGTCACTGTTGCTCATACAGGTAACTGATAGGTCTCCCACCACCTCAGCAGCTATTATGTATAGTAGCTGCCCTCTTCCTATGGTGCCTTGCCCCTTCCCCTGTGTGACGTCATGCCAAGATGGTTGCTCCCACCAAAGAACAAACCCTTCTTCCCAGCATGCCCCTGTTCCCACCTAGAGAGTAACCTAATACTCGCTCACCTCCTACCACCTAGTGACATCACCGGCTCCTCCATTCCCTAGTCACTCCCTCAGTCAACCCCGCCTCAGCCCCTACAAACCCCACCCCAGTCTCTATAAAAGACTCTCCCTGCCCCAGCCATATTGCTTTTGTCTCTCCTTTGTTCAGAGACAGCCCGGCAGATCTATTCCCCTAATAAAGGCTTGTTGTGGCCTGGTCTGGTCTTGGTCTTTGGCCCTTTTACCTGACAGTAACATCTCTACTTCACCAGAGGCTTCCCAGTTATTTAAGTCTCTCTTGGACTCAACACAATGTCATGCTTCTGCTCTCTAGTTTAGTGTTTACCAATTGTTCTCTTCCGAAACAGCAACAAAATTCATTAAACTACAGTTCTGCTTACTATTGATCACTTTCCAGGACTCATTCAACCTACAGCAAACTTGATGAAATTCAGGTGTTTAAAAATGAGTCTTGCATGGTGTGGTGGTGCACACCTATAATCCCAGCACTCAGGAGGGTCATCGCCATGAGTTTCAGGCCCGCCTGAATTACATAGCCAGACGGTCTCAAAAAAACAAAACAAAACAAAAAAACTGAGTTTTGGGGTGTGGGGATGCATGTCTGTAGTCCCAGCTACTTGGGAGCTAAGGAAGAAGGATGGCTTGAAGCAGGAGTCTGGGCAAGCCTGGGTGAGACCCCATCTGTTCATAAAAATGTTTTTGTCTCATGTTTACAACTACTGATTACTTACACATATGGCTATGGTCAGTTATCAAATTTTGGATATAGATAGTATCTAAGACCCATCCAGAAAATACTATGAACATAATTTATAATATAGTTACACATCACATGTTTTGGTCAACAGGCCACATATAGGACAGTGGTCCCTTAAGATTAAAATAGGGCTGAAAAACTCCTAATGTGTTATAGGGCAATGCATTACTTATGTGTTTATGGTGATGCAGTTATGCAAAATACTTACTAGTTGGTATAATGAAAGTAAATATCTGTGTTACTGCTTTATGTATTCAGTAGACTATACTTATTAGAGTGTGCTCCTATTTATTAAAAACAGTTGCTATGAAATAGCCTCAGGCAAGTACTGTATTCTACCTTTGAGAGGTATTCCAAAACCAGGAGTAGTGGAGCACACCTGTGATCCCAGCACTCCAGAGGCTGAGCCAGGAGGCTCAGTGAAGTTTGAGGCCAGCCTGGACTAACTAGTAAAGTAGGCTAGCCTGAACGACATAGCAAGATGCTTTCTCAAACAAAACAAAACAAAATAAAACCTCTAGGAGAATGCATAGGATAGCTCTAAGACCTTCCAGTGGGACAAGACATGGAGATAAAAGACAGTGACACTGATGCCCCGACCCTGTGTAGGCCTAAGCTAAAGTGCATGTTTGTGTCTTAGCTTTTTTTTGGTACTAGGGATTGAACTCAGGACCTTGAGTTTGCCAGGCAGGAATTGTGCCGCTGAGCTACATCCTTGGCCCTGTGTCTTAGCATTTAACAATGTGTTTGTGTTTTAAACTAAATGTGATTACAAAAGAGTTGAACATTCAAGTTGGTAAAGTAAAAAAAAGTGAGCTAAGATAAATTTATTAGAAGAAAATATCTTTTGAAGGGCTGGGGATGTAGCTCAGTGGTGCTGCACCTGCCTGGCAAGCACAAGGTCCAGAGTTCGATCCCCCGTATAAAGAAAAAAAAAATCTTTGACTCCAGAGTGGCCTCAGCGCCATGTTTAAAGCGGTCCCTCCCACTCCTCACGTTCCTCCTGCCACCAACTCCCCCGGAGCAACGGCCAGTTCTGCGGCCACGGCAAGGGCCCTAGGCCTTTATGCCTCATTTTACTGTCTCTGTCCTAGATTTAGATGTGTGTTGCTCCACGAACATTCCCATTGTGATCCGGGTGCCCACAGTGTTCAGTATAGCACAGGCCACACCACATAGCCACTGGGTGCAGCAGGCCTGGCCTGGGTGTGTGTGCATGCTCTATGATGTTCGCACAATTATGAGATGCCTAATGACACATTACTTCAAATATATCATCATCATTAAGCAATGCCTGACTGTACTTAAAAGGGATTATTTTATCATATTATTCATCAATATTTGGTGTACTACTTATGGTAGCAAGTCATTAAGGAATTATATATGCAGAAAAGCTTAGATTCACTTTCCAATTCTACCACTAAACAGACATTTTAAGGATGAAAGTTACATCGTATTTACTACTATCTCCAATGCCTAGCTTTAAATTAAAAAATATATTCAACTGAAATGAACGTAGTTTTTACCTCTTTCATCTCCCAAATGAATTTTCAAAGAATGTCTTTCCTGAGTATCTTCATCTGTATGCACTTGGGGAATGGAGTCATCATCGATGCAAATCACACCACTCTTTAACCATTCTGAGTCATCTTTCTCTTCCTTAGTCAAGTCTACTGGCTGGCTTTCAGACGGAGTCAAATCTGCCTTTACAGTGTTTGTTTTATGAGGCTGTGCTTTAAAAAAATTTCTCTTGGCCTTTTTTGATTTCTGAGCAGTGCTAACTCTTACGAGGTGATTTTTAGGTGGTGTAGCAAATACTTTTGAAGTTTCTGAAGTATCAAAGTCATCCATGTCATCCCAATCATTCATAGTGTGGAAAGAATCTGAGGAAGAACTAAATTCCAATTTCTTGAGAATAGCATTGTGAGGTTTCTTTACAGCTGATATGTTTTGGGTAGTAGGTAAAGCTTCCTGTGGAATCTGCAACAAACCTGTCAGTAAGAGTTTTGAACCAGTTCTTTGGCCTTGCTGTCCTACTGCAGCATTCTTAAAGAAGCCATTGATCCTTGGCTGCTGACTTGGGGTGTGGGGTGGAGGCTCAGTGAAGGAAAAGACTTCTGACACATTCACATCTTTATCACTTAACACAGGGGTTTTTGCTATTGACACACTAGTTACAGAGGCATCGTTATCCGAAGTTGTTTTCTTTTTAAAAGTAAAACCACTGGAAAATAAAAGAATACTGAAATTAGATGAATTCATGTGTTGTTGGTGCTATAAGTTGAACCCAGGGCCTTTTGTGTGCTAAATAGGCATAACTGAGCCATAACCACAACCTTAGATCAGTGGTGGCAAACCACATGTGCCACAGTGGGCTGTATCATTGAAAGCTCTAAAAGGTTCGCCATCACTGCTAGATGAATTCAACAAACCCATCTACTCTACAAAACTAAATTTTTTTTTACTAAATCCTGTGCACATTACATTAATTATATTACAAATGAGCAAAGAATGTGTCTCCCTGTGTGATTTAATAATTTACCAGGTAACTTAAATTATATTTTGTGTACTCTGATCTTTCCCATTCAGAAGCTAATTACTTAGTTTGGAGCATACCCAGGTCATCCCCCCACTTTATTTCTCAGGTTGGGAGTCATTAATTATTATCAGCACCTCCAGAAGGAAGTAAAGCACATGTGAGAATGTGGCAACTCTAATGTGCCTACTTTTTGTTCCTCTGATAAAAATTCCAAGGGGAAAAGTTAAAAACTGCTAGCTGTGCTGAGATCTGAAGGACAAGCAAAGGAGGCAGAGGCTCTGGCTATCTGCTAGATTTAATGACATGAAGGTCAATGGTGACTGTTTAAAGCCAAGCAGTGTGTGCCACCTGGTAAGGGTACAGCATATAATACAAATTACTGTAGTATTAGATATCATTAGGAGTTTGTAGCATAACTTGTAGGAGACAGGGAGAACTGGAAAGCTGCACTTTCCTTATATATTGTTTTGGAAAGGATGTTATCCATTTATTCAACAAATTTCTATTAAATAAGTACTATGAGGTATAATAAAAATATGGTGAATGTTTAAATTAAAAGCTAAAAAATGTATTACAGTAAAAGACACTTTGTCATTAATCATCAAAATATTCCCCCTTGCTTGGAATGAGTATTATTCTTGCCACTTTCTGAAGCAGTTCTGCAAATCCTCTTTTGTGAGTGTCTTTTTGTGGCTTTCTTGACATCCTAAATTAATTAAAAATGTTTATGGTGATTTCTATGAAATAAAAAAGTAACTGTATCCTCATCCCCCTTATTCATCAGATCTGGCACTGAGACTTTTTGGCTCATCCTCAAAGTCAAAACGTCCATGAAAGGTAAAGGGTTTGAATGAATTCAGGACACTGAGGCAGCCATGACAGTGCAACTAAAGACACCCAGGAAAGAGGACTTCAGACTTGCTTTGGAAGTGAAAAGAACATTGGGATAAGTGTATTTGAAGGGAGGGAGATTCCTGGCAATATATCTTTTACTATAATAAAGTGGTTTTTAAAAAATCATGCTCAAAAAAAAAATAATCATGCTCTACCACTAATTTGTAATGTTGGAAATCACTGAACCTCTCTGCTTCATGTCCTCATCTGTACACTGAAGGAGTTGAAAAACACGAGAGACCTCATACAGTAAGTTGGTGCTTATATGACAGCAAACCATCCAATATACTTACCAAGGTTTTGGTTTTGAAAGATCTGATTTATTATTAAGTTTTCTGGCTGAGTGGCGCTCTAGTTGCTCTTGTAGATTATTTAGAGGAATAGCGGCCATGTTCCTGAAAGGTGAGGGGAAAACATCAATAGTACTTTGCAGTAATCACAATATTTGTATAACTAGATTCAAACAGGCATCAGTCTTGTTTTTTGTTTGTTTGTATTTTTAAATTAGCATCTCACTATGTAGCCCAGGCTGGCCTTGAACTCATGTTCCTCCTGCCTCCCATGTGCCAGGATTATAGGCATGTACCCCTATGCCCAATTCAAATAGGGATTGTTCTAGTTGTGCCCACAGTTGTGAGAGGTTTTTAAAAATTTGGTCAATAGATTATTTTGGCATTTATATCTGGTGACATGTAAAATATATAATCTTTAACAAACTGAAAGCTCACTTGAATAACGAAATGACCTGTTTCCCCCTCTTCTTCCTAAAATAAGCACAGTACGTATTAGAGGAGGGATTAATAGGAAAGGGATCACAGAAAAATGGGACCTGGCTGAGGCTTAAAAGATAAATGGAAGCTGGACAAGGAATGAGGTAGGAGAGAATGATCAAAGCAAACTGAAAACCCAAAGGAAAAATAACTGAATTCTCTGTCATTGGCAAAATTGGGGAAAAAAAGAACAGCACCACCAATGAGCACAAAGGGTTACCAGCAAGATACCATTCTTCATAATCATCTAGTTTCAACCTAAAAGAACACTTTTGCTAAGCATATTTATGCCTCTTGTATAATAAATTGTTGAGCTATTGCCTAGGAAAATGTGTAGCTTATGCCACCTTAAAATTACTGGAGCTAAAGGAAGATAGCTATGATCTATGGAGCAAAACATTTTTATTTTAGCTGATAGTTATAACTCCCTTTCCCACTCTATCTTTACCAGAGACCTACTTTTATTTTATACTATGCATATTAGGAGAATTAACAATGGTAGAGATATTTGTGGAAGAAGTTTTATATAAATTGGGTTCCACTCATTAATTATTAAAATAACCTGTGTTTACAAAGAAATGATAATGTTTGTGGTGATGGATATGATTTGATCATTAATCATTGTATACATGTATAAAATATCACTATCCTTAGATATGTACAATTATGTATCAACTCATAAAAATAATTTATATCAACTGTTTTACTTTAAATGATAGTAAAAACAAATTTAGAAGAAAATGAGAAATCTCATTTTCTAATCAATTGAGAAATCTCCCCATATTGAGTTTGATAAACTCAATATGGGGAGAGGTATGGATTGATGACTGAGGTATGGATTTTCTCCCACCTTCTCTGAAAGAAGGCATTATTTCTGCTGCTGCTTCTTGATAAATATTCAATAAACATGGAATAAGCCATCTTGGTGTGTAAATTATATCTCAATAAAGTTAACATACACACATACATATGAATACACAGAGTAGACAGAAGGGGATAATGAACCACCATACATACACCTATCATCTAGATCCAGTAATTATCAAACTTGTCTAAAATTTTGCATCTACACACATACCCTGAGGTCCTCGCGCCACCACTCAGGAGTCTACCTGCAAAAATGGTAATATTCCAATATAGTCATACCTTCTTCATTCATTAACTGGAAAACTTAAGTTTCAAAACAATGAGTTTGTGTTCTGACCACCTCCAACAGTGACCCCCACCCCTGTACGATTCTGAAGTCACAGCTCAAAACACACTGGGTATATTTCAGCTCAGTAGCTATAGCATTTGAGAATCCTTATGATTCCATTTTTTTTTTTTGGTACTGGGGATCGAACTCAGGACCTTGTGCTTGCAAGGCAGGTGTGGTGCCACTGAGCTAAATCTCCAGCCCCAATTCCCAAATGGTTTTATGTTTGGCCAGTGGAAACCTTTTCAGGGAGGCTCTTCAGTCCTCATGGCATTCTCTTAGTCATCTAGGTCAGATTCCATATGGCATTAAAAGATGTTCCAGGCTTATCTTGGTTGGAACCAGCCATTTCCCCAAAGCAGCACTCTTTTTTTTTGAGACAGGGTCTTGCTGGGTAGTCCAGCCTGGTCTTGAATTCACTATGTAGCCCAGGCTGGCCTTGAACTTGTGGCAATCCTCCCAAGTACTAGAATTACAGGTATGTGCCACCATGCTTGGCAGCACTGGGATTCTTTTTAATGGACAGTATTTCAAGACCGTAATCCCTGCATATTCTAAGGTACCTCTTGATTTAAAAACCTCTCTCCCTCTCTATGTGTGAATCTCTATCTCTATATCCATATAGCTAGCTAGCTAGCTACCTACCCTACCTACCTATCTACACACTTTTTTCTCTCAGAGTACTGGGGATCAGCCCAAGACCTCACAAGTGCTAGGCAACCCCTCTACTACTGAGCTATAACCCCAAGACAAAAAAAATTAGTATATGTTTTAATTGACACATAATAATTATACACATTTATGGGGTACAGTATGGCTTTTCAATACACATATATAATGTGTAATGATAATATCAAGGTAACTCACATATATAACACCTCAAATATGTATCATTTTTTTGTGCTGGGAGCATTCTTCTCTATTAGTTATTTTGAAATATTCTACTAATTGTTGTTGATCATAGTTATCCTACTGTCCAACTGTATCCCTTTACCCATTAACTATCATGTCTCAATTTTTTCTTTGTCCCTGGCTCTGGTAAACACTAGTCTATTCTCTACTTTTCTGAGATTGTATTAGGCAGTTTTCCTGATGGTGGGACAAAATATCTGACAACTGCAACTTAAAGGAGGAGAGGTTTGGCTCATGGTTTCAGTGGGTTCAGTACAGGGTTGACTGGCTCAAAAGCAGGAGCAGCATGATGGAAGGGCCTGGCAGAGGACAACTGCTTACACTATGGCAGCCAGGAAGCAGACTGAGAGGAGAAGCCAAAGATAAGAATACATCCTTTAAAAAAAAAAAAAAGAATACATCCTTTCAGGACATGTCCCCAGTGACTCACCTCTTCCAACTAGACCCTACCTCCTAACAGCACATTCAACTATGAACTCATCAACGGATGAATCCATTGATAGAACCTCCCCACAATCCAATCACCTCCCAAACACCCCACCCATGAACACATGAGACCTAAATCATTTAGATCTAAATCATAACAGAGATCAATTTTAGCTTCCACACATATGTGAAAACATGCAATATTTGCCTTTCTGTGCCTGTCTTACGTCTTCCAGTTTCACCCATATTGGTACAAATGATAAGATTTCATTCTTTTTTGAGGCTGAATAATATGTTACTGTGTATATATACATATTTAGCTACTCATCCACTGGTGGAGGCCTAGGTTGATTCCATGTTCCAGCTATTGTACAAAGAGCTGCAATAAATATGGAAGTGTAGAGGTCTCTTCATATTGATTTCATTTCCTTTGGATATATACCAAGTCATGGGATTGCTGGATCATGTGGCAGTTCTATTTCTAGTATTTTGAAGAACTTCTATATTATTTTTCCTGATAGCTGCACTAATTTACATTCCCACCCTCAGTGTGTAAGACTTTCCCATTTTTGCATCCTTCTTAGTATTTGTTATTTTGTCTTTTTGACAATAGCCATTCTAATAGGGTGAGATAATATATCATTGCAGTTTTGATTTGTTCTCCCCTGATAACTAGTGATGTTGGGCCTTTTTTACTTTGTTTTGTTTTCATTTTGGTCTCACTACATAGTCCAGGCTGGTCTTGAACTCACCATGATCCTCCTGCCTCAGCCTTCTGTTAGGATTACAAGTGAGGGTCATCATGCCCAGTTTGTTGGCCATCCCTATATCCTCTTTTGAAAAACATCTATTCAGGTCATTCTTCCATTTTTTAATGAGATTATTTGGAGGTTTTTTTTCTGTTCAGTTCCTTTTATATTCTAGAAATTAATCCATTGTTAGATGAATAATTTGCAAGTATTTGCTCGCCTTCTGCAGGCTCTCTTCACTCTAGACTTGTTTCCTTTGCTGTACAGAAACTTCTTAGTTTGATATAATCTCACAGGTCAATTCTTGCTTTCTGTGCCAATGCTTTTGAGGTCAAATATGAAAACCTTTCCCCACACCAATGTACTGAAGTGTTTCCTGTTCTTTCCCTTCAGTTTCAAAGTTTCAGGTCTTTGAGATGATTTTTTGTATATGGTGTGTGATATGGGTCTGATTTCTTTCTTCTGTAAATGAGCACCCAGTTTTCCTGGCTCTATTTATTTCCAGCATCATTTAAGAAGACATTCCTTTCTCCAATGTATATACTTGCTGCCTTTGTCAAAAACCAGTTGGTTGTAAATGTAATTTATTTCTGAGTTCTTTATTCTATTCCATTGGTCTATGTATCTATTTTTATACAAGTACATGCTGTTTTGGTTACTATAACGTTGAAATTTTTTTTGGTACCAGGGATTGAACTCAGGACCTTGCGCTTGCGAGGCAGGAGGCGGCACCACTTACTGAGCTAAATTCCCGGCCCTATAATTATGTAGTATTGTTTGTTTGTTTATTAAGACAGGGTCTTACTATGTAGCCCAGGCTGACCTTGAATCAGTCCTAACATTTCTTCATCAGGGCTTTATTATTTTCACAGTAGAAATCATTCACTTTCTTTTAATTTATTCCTGATGTGATGGTTAATCTTAACATTCAACTTGATTGGCTGGACAGACATCTAGGAGATTTGTACAGCACACTTCTGGGTGTGCCTGGATGGGTCATGGGATGTGACTTGGAGACTGTGTAAGGCCCTTGGCCCCTTCCTTGTTGGCACTGTTCCCCTTCTCTGTTTCCTGGATACTGTGAGTTGGGTGGCTTTCCTCTGCTGCCCTTCTGCCATTGTTCCTGCCTTGGAGTCAGCCAAGAATGGAGTATAATCTCTGAAATCATGAGCCAGAATAAACCTCTCCCCTTTAATTGGGGGTGTCATGTATTTTGTCCTGGAAACAGGAAATCTAACACATAAGGGTTTTGTGGGATTTGTTGTGGTAGTTCTTGTGATTGGGACTGCTTTCTCAATTTCCTTCTCAGCAATTTTATTACTGGTATATAGAAAACCTACTGA